CTGGAAGATTATGGGTAATTCAACCTACTTAAAACATTTAAGTAGGTGGCCATAATACATAAGGACCTTTGGAAGACCCCATTTGGAAGCCCTACCCATTTTTGTTGTACAGGTATGCCTAAAGATTTTATAGCAGTAAAGGCATCTGATAAATATATCGCCTTCTCCCAGTGGAGACATGGGTTAGGCCCTGACAAGAATGCACCTTCTCAAAATAAATTCATCCACAACTTAACCTCACTAAATAATCTATCCAGAGGACTATATGCAGGCGAATTAAATACTTTATCAGTAGCTAACTTCATTTGGCCAAATATAATTAATTATTAAGACCAGTTGGTAATTCCGTTGGGAAGGTATGACACCTTTCTACACAAAGGATCAGCTTGTGGTGATCGCTGCACAAAGTACCCATAGAATAATCACCTACAGTTATTAAGCGTCAAATTGAAGAAACGGTCTGACAGTGGACAGTGTGCTAACAACGCTGAGCAAGCACAGCAGAAAGATGCAACGGCAAAATTCTTTTTAGGGCCCCTCTAGATATATATCCCCCCGGCCAATTGCTACAGTATTTTGTGGTCAAACATTTAATCATTGGCTAGTGAGCGTAAATTAATATGTAATTGTGACTGAATTGATCAAAACATTTTTAATAAAATAAGATTATGTTTGTTTTAATATGCTAAATACTACTAAATTCAATCAACATAAACTTCTTTTGCATAGAATAGAAATGCCAATCGAGGGAACTTTGACCTTATGTAGGCGGAATTTAGCGAAAGTTGAAATTCGTCCTTCTATTGGTGGAATTTGACGAAACAAATTAAAGTCAGGCTACCGAACATTTGATAGTGGTTTGTATTGTAAGTCGGCGGGCTTTTTGCCGCCTCTATAATCATTCTTGCCGATGAAGCAACCAGTCCTGTGAAGCCACCCAAAATACGGTGGTTAAAACGCTGGACATTAAATAAGTCCGTGTCAGTGCAAATTTCGAATATGTTTCCAAGGAACGCTTCGTTCCAAGTCAAATGTTTATATATGCATTTCGATTGTGCCTGCAAGTCCAAACCTACCGACGTCTCACTGTTGGAAGTCGATGCCCCGGTCTTGAATTTGAAGAATTCCATGAAAGAAGAGGATGCTGAGGCCTTCAACTTCAGCTTATCGCTCTCACTTAGCGTACGGGAAGAGCTTGACAGGCTATCGATCTTCGCTATTACAGCACCTGCGTCTACGCTCGTCACGCTGTGTGTGCCGTAGTCCCTGTCATCAACATAGAGACAAATATGTGAATATTTTTTAAACCTTGAAGTAAAGAATTAAAATTAAAGTAATATAAAATAGCTCGAAGTTAAGAATTTACAAAAATAGTTTCATGATACCTGTTAAGGATTTAAGCCTTAGGTCGGTTAGTCCTATAATTTTTGCAAATGCAAATCGACAGATAAACAGAAGTGGCCATCACAGATGCCTTTTGGTCAAGAAAGAAGGAGTTCTCATCATAGTTGTTTTCGGAGAACGTCAAAAGTCGAAAAATCTGTTACTTCTCCTTTGACGTGTAATGCTATGTATCCGGAAAAAAAGGGATACCTGCCAGATAAGAAGAAAGACATATTTTTTCACCACTCAAAAAGTGTCCTCTGACGATTTGTTATTGCTTTCAGATGACTGGAATTTTTTAACACTAAATTATCCTTGCAATGGGACATCGATCTCACGTTTATTCTGGGAGAACGGTATAAAATTATAAAAGCAAAATTTAGAAATTCGAGCTCGGGAGATGTCATTTTATTTTAATTAATTTTCAAAAGAATGCTCTGATGAAGCAGAAGATATCAAATACGATAACACCCATGCATAACACCAAGAATGTCATCAAAATCCATTCTGCACTTGAATCTGTGTTATTTTCCGAGGGTTACGTAGGACTTGGTAGCCGGAGACGAAATTATATTTATGGTTAGTTACGCCGTTGTCGGCGAACCAGGGGTACTCCTGTGTTTGCCCTATTTTACGTAGCCCTTGGTCACTGGTAAAATCAAAACTGCGATCAAATTTCATTATGTAGGCAGCAGTATGTTATAAGTGGCTTCGTGTGTCATATTTGCGTCAGCAGTGTCCGGTGTCGATACGAGCAAAATTACACGTCCCAAAAAGCCCTTGAGAAGAAGTAAACGTGGTCACTGAACTAAAAATTTTATTTGCTTGCCTTTTCAACTTAATGCTCAAGCCCAATGGTAGGGACAGCATCAGATATGGGTTATTCATAGAGAAGACGGACCTATTAGTGTTCGTTTCATAGACTGCTCCGTCAAACTTTAAGTACGTCCTGTGGAAATAATTCGGGAGCTAAAGAAGCTCATAGGCACTATCAAAGTGGTTGTTTTGACGTCTCCATTTTGTGTGCGGCTCTAGGACGCGGCCCAACCAAGCCGGATTTTGTGCTAGACTTGGATGTTTGGACCAGATATTCACACTTAGACGGATCCTTGAATTTCGCCATAGGTACCAACAACAAACGGCCGTCTGCTTTGTTGACTTTTTGCCCCTGCGCTTGGTTTCGTCCATCGTAACATCCCCATGGCGGGTAAAGGCATTA